AAATAAAAATTAATAAAATTTATATTTTTTAAATTAAAATTACAAATTTAACATAATTACCCACACATTTTCTTTGAGATATAACCAGTTGAACAAGCACGTCCTTTTCAGGAATTTAACCACTGAACTGAAACGACGACTTCCCGGCTGGCCACGGTGTTCATATTAAAGCCACTCCCAAGACAAGATACTACCCAACACGCCATGTATCTTTCCAAACAGAAAATATTTTGAGAGCTTTTAGTCGGATTGAAACAGTATCCTTACTAAGGAAATCATCATCATCATCCTCCCCTTTGGAGAATGGGAACCGTTATTGACTCCCATTTCTTGGTCCTCACTGCCATTGTTACTGTAAGATTTTCTTCTCTCTCACTGTTTTCCTTTTTCTTCTTTTGGGTTTTTTTCTTCTCAATAATTGACTCAGGTACAATCCCATGGATTGTTTTTGGTGAATTTTTTTGTAGGTGGGATATCAATTTTTTTTCTTTGTAATCACTGCTCTTCTCAAATTTGATAAAGTCACTGACTTTGCTGGTATTTTAGTTTCCCTTACACTTGTGAATTCTTTTTGCCTCCTATATATATAGAATAGAGTACTGAAAATTTGAGTTCCAATTTCAAAAACGTTATACTTCTATGAATATTTAGAAAATTCAACAGTTAAATTTGGTATTATTCCTATAAATATGTATGTTAATTTTAAAATTAATTAAATATATCTAAGTAGATTTTTTATTATACAAAATTTAATACCATTAAATATATATTAATGCAAAAATGATTATAACTTAGAACTTTATTGTTGAGGATAAATATGAAGTCCAACATCAATAATAATTTAATTAATAATGATGTAACTTAAAGATGTGTATAAGAGAAAGGTTCAACAACTTTGAAGCTATACCTACAACATATGGTAATAGGTAATAAATGTTAGCAAATAAATTTAAACAATTAAAAATGAGAAGTCACGTAAAATTAAAAGATTACAAAAGTAATCGATGTAAGGGCACGAATTTGGATTATAGAGTAAATAAACAACCACTATAATCTTCTCTAACACTTAA